GGGGGGCGGTGTTGGGAGGCTGTCCTGTCCTGTCCTGTGCATTGTAGGATTTTTAGCAGCATCCCTGGCCTCTACCTAGTAGATGCTATCACAACAAACAAAAATGTCTCCAGACATTCCCAATGTCCCATGAGGACCACTGCCTTAGAGACTTCCCTCTCTCCCACTCCAGGGGACCAGAATGTTCTAGCAGGATTCCTAACAGCGAGGCAGAAAGGGTAGCACTTCAAGAAAGCAGCCCATTACGCCAGTACCAATTTTTTTTTTCTTCAGCATTCACCACCATTCCTTGATATTCACTCGGCAATAGCAAAGTCCATGTACAGAAAGACCAAACGGGCCTTGGGGAACAAATCAATCTGCATTGTCCTCAGAGAGGGAAAAAGGAAGGCAAAGCCAATTTTGGAAAATCCAACTAAATGAGTCACTTCCAATTTCTTTGAACTTCGAGAGTTTGCGTTAGACTCGACACCTAATTTTCTCTTCTGGGCCAAAGGTTCATTCACCTTGAAGCACAAGATGTCTTTGGGGAGGGGGGCAAGAACGCCCCAGTGGATTGTACGTTTGAAACCCTCCTGTCCCTCCACCGAGGGATTCAAAGGGCAAATGTGATCCAACCTCCTTAATCACCAGATGTTTGCAATCATCAGAAAGACGTCTTGGGCTGTAACCATTTCTCTGTTCTCCAGCATTCAGTCTCACAGAGAATTTACATAACAAAATGTGACATGTAGAATGCTTAAAGGCACCAACCATGACAAGACGAATTACACTCATTTTTTCAAGACTCTTTGCAAGGTGCTGCACAGCAAGCGCGCGGGCTGCATGCCGGGCGGTTCTGGGGTGGGGGGGTGGTCAAGGCCGGCATGCGCTAGATCGCACGCAAGGGGTGCTGGTGCGGGAGGCCCGCCCGGGGTCGGGGGGCTGCCCCACTTACCCGCCGTAGGCCGGGATCGGGGGCGGGGGCGCCGCGGCCCGGAAGGTGTTGTACACGGTGCGGCCGCGGCCTCGCAGGTGCGCCCCTCGGTAGGCGGCCGCGGCGGTGGCGGCTGGGTACGGGAAGCCGGGCACTGCGGGCGACAGGGGAGAGCAGAGCTTTCAGAGGCACTCCTGCCTTTGAGGGAACCACCCGCCCCTCCCCACCCCCACTCAGGACCCTTCTCCCCGCAGGCCAAGGCTGGACACCAGCCCCGCTTCCTTCCCAGAGTCAGGCTTCCAAAGGCGGGTAGGAGGGGGGAGACCAAGGTCTGATTCCGGAAAGGATGGGCTAGTTCAGCCCGTGGTCCCTGTGCCCAAGGTCAAGGACAGACCGTCACAAAGCATTCTTAATAACGGGAGAAAAGCTCACTGCACAAACTTAAATTTTTAAAAAGGTATTGCAACAGATTGCAAGATGTATGTGCAGTGTGCTCTCAAATCTGTCTACCTATCACCCATCTATCCACATGCCTACATATACATATATGCATAGTGTAATATACATGTGGATGAGCACACACTATGCATATGTGTATATGGACACATACATCTGTATAAGCATGTGTGCATGTGGAAGTGAATACATGTATATATGTGTATATACAATATACCTGGATGTTTGTGTGTATATACATGTACGCATGCATGTGGGTATGTGAATATGTATATGTGCATATTTATATATGTGTGCGTATTTATACAGTTATATGTACAAATTCATATACATACATATTTCAATGTGTTTGTAGTCATCTCTGGGCTGAACTTCAGAAGTAAATGTCAGTTGTCTATTCATAGCTTTTCCCAAACCCATTTTAATTTTTTCCCCTTATTTTCCTTTATGTACCTATATTGCTTATTAAAAACTTTAAATTGAAATACTGCGTTCCTAGAGACAAGTGTACACACATCGTAGGTGTATGGACCTCTCAGGCTCCAGGAAGCAAATTATTACTAAGGTCCCATCAGCCCCCTAACCATTTATACGGCTTATAAAACCATTTCTACCACAAACATAATTGCAGAGAAGTGTGGGAATTGGACCCCGAAGGAAAGGGTTTGGGCAGGGTTTTCTTCCCTGGGGGAAAATTCTCTGAGCAGAGTGACTCGGTGAGGAGGCAGCAGGGAAAGTGAGCCTGATGCTTGAGATCCCTGATAATTAATATGGCTTCCGCTGCCAGGGGTGTCATTCCTCCTAGGATGTCTGCAAATCCTCAGGCATCAGGGCCCTTGAAGCCTTCAGAACACCACCTCTGCCTTCCTGCTCTTTCTGTCACTGAATCTCACCACTCTCACCATGCTGGCCATGCCTGTCCCATCCCACTTAGCAGCAGGCACTGTTGCCCACACTGAATCCCGTGGAGGGGATGCTTTTTTAGGAAACTACTGTCCCAGGAGCTCTATATTAAAGGCTCAGAAAGTCCTAAGGTAAGGGAAGTGCATTAACACCATTAACCCAGAACCCCCAAACTTCATTTTTCCAGGAACTCTAGTTTGCAGAATACCCAACCTCTCACAGGTATTGAGAGAAGTCAGTCATTTATTACCTTTACCTCTTCTATTCATCTGCCAGCTCCTTGAGGCCTCCCACCGTATCCCATTCATCTTTGCATCTCCCTGCGCCTCCCCCACGTCAGCAGAAGCCCCCTGATTTTGTCCACAGTAGGTTCTAGATACTGGACACAGTAGAGTCTAGATGACTCACATGCATGAACAAGTGAATGAACCGTGGGCTGTGGTCCAGCCAAATGATTGACAGCCTATCCAGGGAACTTCCTCTCCCTGTTCCATTCTCTCCCCTCATCCTGCTTACCTAACAGGAGCTTTGAGGATTTCAAGAGAGAGCGAGACACATGACACGAACCAGGGTGGGATGGCTTTCCTCCCCATCGACAGCCCTGCCTCCCCTGCTCCACCTCCCCTGGGATTTCAGACAGTGTTGGTAACAACAGGCAAGGCTGGGAAGGACACAGCTTCTCTTGGCATCATAGGACAGTAAAGTCTCAGCGAGGCCTCACAGCCAAGGAAGCTCTTTCCCTGAGTTAACTCAGCACATCCAAGCTTCCCTCTGCCAGGATCTCTATTTTGCTGAATACCTAGCCTCTCACAGGGTGTTGTATTTCATATTATGTTAAACTTGCCTCCACCCTACATCCAAAGGCCGAGAAGGGCTTTTTCCCCTCCCCGCTATCACGTTCAAGAGTAGAAGCCCTCCACCCAGAGAACACACTGGTGGTTGCCAAGGGGGAGGGGGCTGGGGGAGGGATGGAGTGGGAGGTAGGGGTTAGCAGATGTGAGCTTCTATACATAGAATGGATAAACAACAAGGTCCTACTGTATAGCACAGCACTATCTTATGATAAACCATAATGGAAAAGAATACTAAAAAAAGAATGTATTGATATATAGATATATATAATATATATAACTGAATAACTTTGTTGTACAGCAGAAACTAATGCAACATTGTAAATCAGCTATACTTCAATTAAAAGAAAATAAATAAAGAGTAGAAGCCCTTCACCCCATCAATTCCCATTACTCCCAGAGTCCTTGGATAGAGTAGGTTTGCAGCTGCATGTGGGTGGCAAGGGGCGGGGAGAAGAAAGAAGTGGGATTTCCCACAGGAGCCATTCCCAATTCTATATTCGTGGAATTGCATGGAGTGGAATATAACCCTTGACCCGGAAGTGAAGGCAGACTAGCTGTCATCTGGGATTCTCTGTGTGTTCTTGAATGGCCAACAGCTATCCTGTTTCATGGATTCTACCATATCCTTCTGTGCTGATGCTGGTAAATGCTAGGGTGGTAGAATCAAGTCAGAATGATTTTTATCTTTCTACTTATGTCTGAGAAGACCATCCAGGTTCTTTTTTTTAAATTGTCGTTCAAGACAACTCATACAGCAGTACTTAATTCTCAGCTTTCCAGCCCTCACCACCCATGTTTCCTGGCTGGTGTTTCAACTACTGTTCTTGAAATTGCAAAGAGGTGTCAACCTCAATGAAAAAAGCAGGGAAATCCTAATATCGTAAAAGCCCAGGAGTCATGAGAGATAGGAGATGTTGGCTTTAGGACTGGGGAGAAAATGAGCAATGCCTTTGACTCCAGCGCTATCTTGCCACAGTTCAAATATTAAGTTTTCAGAGGAACACCTTGGATTTTGAAATAAAGCAAATGAAAAGTTCACAATCTGGCAGAGCAGCTGGCTGCCTGTGTGAGGAAACACAGTAATTACGCTGACCCATTCATTATCGCTGGCTACGGCATGGAGTGAGCCAGACAAGATCCCTCTCAGCGACAAGCAGGTTTTACAATAATTCTTGGAGGATTTAGATGTTGAGATAGAACATGAAACAGAAGCTCAGCAGTAGAGCGAGGGGAACACAAGCTGCTAAAAGGGTAGAGCCAAGATGCCACTTTGTACCCCCTTTGCTGCAGGGAGAAAATATCCTTCTCGACGCAGGATAAGGGATTTGCGGATCTTAATACCAGGCTCTTTGAGCTACTCCAAGCAGGGCACATTAGAGGGATTCTTACTTTGTTAAAGGAACAAGGGAAGGACTGCACATCAACTTCCTGGGAGGCCAAGTACCCTTAGGTAAAATAAGGAGGTTCCATTGTAACAGGGGCTTCATGGAGAAGGCACGTGTGTCTCCCAGATGGATGGTTTTCTCAGCTATCCCTTTCTCGCTGCCGTCTAGAGCTGGCCAAGGGGTCTCTTTATGAAGTCTCTAGCTAGTCACCGTGATGGATGAATGTTCCCTTCTCTTCCCCTCTTTTCTTCCCCCCTTCCTTCCTCCAGAAAATAAGCAGGACCCTGTGGGGCTCCTGGGCACAAAAGCCTTTCTGTGTCCCCTTCCATGAGCTTCAACAGGCAGGTTCAAATAGTTGCTAATCAGGGAAGGGAGGGGTTGGGAAGACACGGAAGGGGCAATCAAGAGGCAATAGTGCAGTCTTGGGGCAGAGTCCTGGTTCCCCCTCAAGGGACACACATCACAGTATCTTTGAGATGTTTTGCAGATACAGAAACCCCTGCCAGGTGCGAGAAGTTAACAGTGTGCTGCCCACAAGCACGTAGACCCCAGACTGGTTGGAACCAGAAGGTTGATGATGCTGGCTCTCACTTACTACTTACTCACCACCAACCAATCAGAAGGAAGTCCACGAGCTGATCACGCCCTCCTCTTTGAACCATTACTATAAAACTCCTCACTAGCCCCTCCAGGTCAGGACACACAATTTTGAGGGCATTATCCCACTGTGGCCCCTTTGCCCGGCAAAGCAATAAAGCTATTCTTTTCTGCTTCACCCAAAACTCTGTCGCCAAGATTTAACTCGGTGTTGAGATACAGAGGCCAGATTAGGCATCCATCCCTCCCTCCCACCCTTCCTCCCTCCTTCTCTTCCTCCCTTCCATTTATTTTCTAACCTCCTTCTGAAGAATGCTGCCATGAACCTTCCCAGGTGTACTAGCAATCAAGTAACTTGACTGATCAAGCAACAGAAGGAAAAAGACTCTCACCATTGCTAAAATGCAAGCCGCATGAGGGCAGTGCTCTCCATCTGTTTTGCTATCTGATTTAGAAAACTGCCTGACACAGCAGCACAGGTGTCAGCTACCTAACACCATGCGTGGACACCCTTTGATGGTGAACCCATGTTAGTCTCCTTCTTTTTGGGACAGTAGAGGCCCTTCCTCTTCCTGTTCCACCTTCCATAATCCAGTCCTTTATACAAAGCACCCTGCCCAAGATTTGCAGATAAAGTGTGCAAATAACACACCGGATCTCACTCATCTTTATAAAAACAGTCACTACGCCCATACTTAGAAGGTGCTGTACTGGCCCAAACATAGCAACCAAACTTGGAATATGTGTGATTCTGATAAAAAGGGAGACAACTTGGATAAACATACTGCGCTGGCAATTACTGCCCACCCTCAATTCATTTAAATTCACGTTTACTGCTGCAACGAGTCGGGGTACGGAGATTGGTTTCTACTTCTGGGGGAAAAGCAGGGCTCAAACATTTTCCCCAGACAGGTGATGACTGTCTGGTCTATGAAAGGAACTCTGTCACGTTCCTCCCT